GGGGAGGTGGGGAGGGGAACGAGAAAGCAAAGCAATCATCCTTAATCACTTTGGACTGTAAACTTTGGGGGATCAATCACATGTAGACCTCCCCAGAAACAAAGAGACACACCCAATGTTGCTGACCGTTTGGGTAGTTTATGAGATAGTTGAATTCAGTTAAGAATCCTTGCTCTGCTAATTATTTTTTTCCATTGCACAAGTATTTTTGGTTTGGGATAAGCCCACAGTGTAAGCAGGATTTTTTTTCCAGGGCCTCAGAGGTGTGTACTATGGCTTTCACTAGGTCCTTTTCTGAGGAAACCGAAAAGTTCGGAGCTGCTGACCCTGACATTCCTGTGGTTCACTCGTTCAACTTACTGCGGTTTGTTTTCTGATACTTTAACACTTTTCTACATACATACCTGCTAAATAAGCCCAAGGCAACGTAGGGTGATGGGAAGGTTTCCTGATGGCCCTCGGGGCTTTCAAGCTTCTGAGGACCTGCTTTAAAAATATTTGTCCTACTTTGTGGGATTTATGGCAAGATCTTTACTATTGTTTTTTCCTTCAAGCTCGGGATTTCTGTTGGTATTACAAACAAAACCTGCTCAAGATACAAGGTACAAATCATCATTAACTATCACACACACACCTTTTTCCTGTAATGCAGCCTCTGGGTGAAGTGTAATGGCAAACGATGGGCAAAGTGGAGCTATAATCCCTGCTTTTCAGTGTTTCCCTAGCATGAGAGGGGCTGCTTGGGCAATAACAATTAGCCCGACAATAATAACAGGGGTCACTAATATTTGCTTGAGTACCAGGAATGGGGCACAATGTTTCACAGCTGTTATTTCACAAAAGTTTATGAAGTTGGCGCTGTTGTGTTCTCTTTGTGCAGTTGAGAAATTAGGATTGGGAGAGGTCAAGTTCTGCACCTGAATAGGATCCTGGGAAAGATGGAGTCAAGGCTCCTATGCAGCCTTGTCTAACTATGAACACGCGTGTTCGGCACACCGCCCGACCCGAAATCTTTCTGCATTACTGTAGAAAGCAGTTTTCTCGTAAGTTTCCTGAATCTACAAAAAAATAATGGAAATTACATTAGCCAGGACTCATCTTGTATAATCAACCTGAAAGCAAAAGTAAGTCCAGTGGTTGTAAAGAAGCCACTAAAAGCAGAGAGGTGACCTATTCCTGCCTGTGTTCAACCAGCTGTTAGTGATGACAGTCACACTGGCCTGGAGGGCAGCTGCCAGGGGCAGAGAGTGAGGGGTTGAAAGAGGAGACTCATGGAGTTAAAGTAAGGACCCCAAGGCAGAGCTGGAACATAGTCAGATTTGTCCTGGGGAAGCCTCACCCCCACCCCACAGTGGAAGTGCTTGGGCTCCCTCTGCCTGCCCAGGCGCACCTCTCAGAAGTGACCTTGACTGAGGCCAGGAGGTGTGGAAGCAGTGCCAGCTCCACATACAGAGGGCAGCAGGGTTACCCTTGCTGCGGCTGAACTCAGCGGGCTCCCATCCTGCCCTCTTGGCTGGTCTTCGGCTTTGGTTCCCATGTTTGAGTTTTGGCTTTGGTGATTTGCCCAGTTCAGCAACCCCTTCACAGGGCACCGAGTGATACTGATGAAGTAATTTTCATTGTGTGTTGAGCTGTGTTTTTATGAGTACAGTCTCAAGCACATGTAGACGGGCAGGGGGCCAGCACCAGATGGCCTTGGTTGGAATCCGGGTTCTGCACTTACTGCCTCAGTGACTTGGGCAGTAAGCTACTCATCTCCGTGACTCAGTCTCCTCAGCTGTAAAATAGGAATGGTAATTCCTCACTCTTATAGGGTTGCTGTTCAGAGTAAAAATTCATAAAGTGCTTAAAATAACTTTCAGCACATATTGATTACTTGACAAACATTAGCTTTTATATTATTATTAAGCAGCCTCCAAAGCCAAGTGCTTCACACACATTATTTAATCTTTTAGCCACTTCACAGATTTCCTTTTTTTAAAATATATTTTTATTGATTTTAGAGAGGAAGGGAGAGGGATAGAGAGATAGAAACATCAATGATGAGACAGAGACATTAATCACCCCCCTGCACGCCCTCTACTGGGGATCGAGCCCGCAACCCAGGCATGTGCCTTTGGCCAGAATCAAACCTGGGACCCAGCAGTCCACAGGCCGACACTATCCACTGAGCCAAACCAGCCAGGGCCCGGATTTCCTTTTGTCAGCTAGATTTTACAGGTGAGGATATGGATCTTGTCAAAGTTAAAAGCCACAGAGATAGAAATCAATTCCAAATCAGATGATTGAAAGGCCTCAAGCCTTTGCTGCCTTCTCTCCTGCCTTCCTTCCTCAGGAGCCTTGTTCTGGGCTTCCGGACACACTCTGGTTTACTTCTTGCTTTCAGCTCACCTGATGCTTGCCACATGCCTACCTAGAGGAGTGGAGGCCGCCACCCCAATGTCCCCAAGGCCTGGCGAAGCCATGACTCCTCTTGGGGTCCCTGTCTTTCTCCTGCTTTGCTCAGTCATCCGTGGAATGCTGGGCCCAACAGGAGGATCGCTTTTCTAGTGTGTGTCTCAGCTTAATAAGTGGTTCTGATCCCAGGACTCTTCCACTTTGCTCTTATTTAAGTAACTGGGACATAACCCTGTTGAGAGTGGACACTGAATGTAGAGAACTGAGCATTCCTCCAGTATTTGTGTGTTTGAACGATTAACTAGTTTGTAAACCTCTGAGTGGGAGGGACCATGTCTTAGACCAGTGTTTTGCAGACTTTAAGTAAGCATGCTGGTCTCCTGGGGATTGTGTGGATGTATGTTCTGATTGAATAAACCTGGAGAGGGACCTGGGAATCTGCAGTTTCACATGCT